GGCGAAGGGCGCGGGGTGAGTGAGGCCCCCGAGACTGCGCTCCCCGTTCCCCGAAGCTGCCCGGGGTGGGGGGCAGTTCAATGGTGTAGAACCGAGTTACATAGTGTAGGCGGGGCAGGGGCCAGGGCTCGGCCTGGTGGGGTCAGCAGGCATCTTGCCTGCGGGGTCGGGGAGGTACCCCCGGTGTCGGCCGCCGGGCGGGTCCGTCGCGGTGCTGGGTTAGATTTCTCTCCGTCGGTGGCCTCCCGAGGGTGCACAGCTGACCTTGGTTGGAGGGCGGAGTCTCCGAGCTCGGGTCGCTCTCTGCGCCTCCGTCTCTAGAGCTCAGCCTTGAACTCTGTCGCCTTGTACCCTGTGGACCCAATGGAGGGCAGTGCGGTTGTTTGCAAACTAGTGAGCCGTGTAGTAGTTTTTACCCGATTCTCTAGCAGATGGACTTTTGGAGAATGTTTGCTGTGCTTTCCCCAAAAGTTTGAGTCGTGGGGCCTCCCAACCTCTAGATTGTCTGTCTTGCACCTTCTTTCACCAGTTTTTGCCAATACTCACCCCCGCCCCCAACCCCCCCCCGCATCCGCAATTATTAACTTTCTTTCTTCCCACAGTCACCAGCCTAGTTCAGCCCCCGTGATTTGAAAACAGAATTGTTGCAACAGGCTCCTGGAACTCCTAAACAACTCCTCTTGGTGTTCTGGTATGTGGCAGATTATTATTGTTATTATTATTATGTTTACTTCTTGTTCCTGGTTCTCTTTTCCACTTTGATTTTACATCTTTTGGCTCCCAGGAAGCCCACTATAATGAAATCCAGTGTCATCATTTTCTTATTGCACATTTGGTTCTTTTGGAATTATGTTATTTAATTTAATCTTTATGATTGAGAATTTAAAAAGCATCCTTCATGAAAGAATCTGATAATTCTTATTTTAATGTGTACCTCTTGGTTAGTTAAGACTTGAGTGGGTATGGAATTGGTATTCTTGGTCTCAGTTTCCTAGAGGCTGAGGAATACAGAGAATAGCTTTTCTATATATGTGTACTAGGTTCCTATTGCTGCCATAACAATTTATCACAAACTTAATAAAAAAAACCACGAATTTATTATCTCACAGCTTCTGTAGATCAGAAGCTGGGTGGGTACTCGGCCTAGGATCTCACAAAGCTGAAGTGAAGGTTTCTTTAGGTGTTGGTTCTTGTCTGGGGACTCTGGGAGAGAACCCACCTCCAGGAGGCTCACTGAGGTTGTTGGCAGAATTCATCTCCCTGCAGCTGTAGGACAGAGGTTCCCATTTCCTTCCTGGCTGTCAGCCTGGGCCTCTCTTCCTTCCGTAAGACCACCTGCCAGACAACACCTTTTGTGGTTTTAATCTCTCAGACTCTTCTGTCACCAGCTGGAGAAAGCTTTCTGCTCCTAAAGGCTCAAGTGATTAGATGAAGCTCACCTGATAATCTCCCTATTTTAAGGTTAATTGTGCTGTGTAAAATAACAAAATCACAAGCATGGAAGTGAAAATCTCATATTCACAGGTTCTGTGGGTTGGGG